CCTGTGAGGCCTGAGCTGAAGTCTGTGATCCTAGGCTCTGAGCAGCCCCCCATGTCCGGGTTCAGACAACCCCCTCAGAGCCCTGCCTGCCCGGAGCCTGCAGAGGGCATTCCTGGGCCATGGAGGCCAGCGGGTCGCATCAGGTCCCTGTGCCCGGAGGTGGTAGGGACTCCCTGCCAAAGAGAACCAAGGGCATAGGGAGGCAGAAAGAGCCCCGGACTGAGTCATGAGGCCCAGGCTCTAGGCCCCTTGTGCCCTGAATTGGCTGGATTACTTTGGGCAGGTCACTTTCCCTCCCTGGGAATCGGTTTCCTCCTCAGAACACAGGGATTGGAGTTTGGTGAATTCTAAGATTCCTTTCTGTTCTGAGCTTCTGATACCTGTGGTCTGTCTGGAAACAGTGATTAACCTGCCTGGTGTCATCAGGGACACGTAAGGGGCAGGAGGGAATGGGGGATGGGCCAGGGAGTGGTCCCAGGACCAGCAGTTGGTCAAACACGAGTTTAAAGAGCAGAAAGAACCAGGGGTTTCAGCGCCCGGGCCAAGACAGCCAGGGAAGCCTGGAGGCTCCGGCCAACAGCTCATGGAAAAAGAGCCCGACTCTGCCAAGGACAGGTGCCAGGTCAGGGTGTGGGTAGCCAAGAGCCCACAGGTGCAGGCAGGTGAGTGACTGCACCTGTCTGGAAAGGAGACGGGTAGGGCAGCTGCCAAAGGCTCATCCCAGCCAAGTGGGCCCTTGGCTGCCTGGTTCTCCGGGGCAGAGGGAAGAGCTGGGGCCTGGGAAGCCACACTCGCTCCCCATGGCACGGCTCCCTGCTGCCTGAACCCGCAGCCTCAAGGCTGCGAGCTCTCCCTCTCCTTTAGCCACTGAGCACACACCCTCCCTGTAGTCACCCAGTGGCCGCCCTGCCCCTATTCCCAGCCCCTCCTGAGCCTGCTCCTGACCCTGCCCTTGCTCCCCTCCCTAGTTAAAACTGCTCTGTTCTCAATCCATTAGGAAACCGCCCCTTACATGCCATAGTACCTGGTAATTTCCAATCAATCCCCATCTTATTTATCTTTCTCATTTGCATAACACCCTGAATTTACAGAACACGGCATGAAGGGTGAGGAGCGTCTCCCTTTTACATAACTTTCCCGAGGTGCGTGCCTAGCTCGTGGCAGGGCGCCTCCTGTCACCACAGCCGCGTTTCTCCCACAGTCATGACTGCGCCGCCTGCTCATGGTGACCAGGCGGGGTGGATGCAGGTGGAGCCTGCTGAGTTAAAGGGCCCCAGAGGTGGGCGGGCTGCAGCGCAAAGCTGGCGCCTGGAGCACCAGACAAGTTAGAACACCGGAGCCGCCCTGGCCCTCCCCGCCCCACACCCCACCCCACGCCTCCTTGCACTTTCTGGAGAGCCTGAGTGAGAGCCTGGCTCCAGGCAGCAAGAGCCTGGCATGCGTGTCCTGGCAGGCAGCTGATGGAGACATCTGTCTGAGGATCCTCTCTTCCCTGGCCTCCCTCCCCTGCTCATGTGGAGGGGTGGGGTAGGGTATGGGCACCTCTGCTGCCACGTCAGAGGTGGAGCTGGCTGCTCAGCAACCTGCATTCTGCCCCGCTGTGCCCTTAGGCAGGAGAGGTGAGCCTGCAGGGAGGAACTTTCCCACAAAGTATCGCTTTCCAGTCCCTTCCTTCCCTGAGTCATTTCAGAACCCAGAGCAGGGGAAGACTACGTAAGGAGTAAGGCCTGCCTGTCCCCTCAGCTGTAATCCTGCAAGCAAGAACCACCCTCCCAAGGGCAGCCCAGGGAGCTGGGCCCTTACCTTCCAAATGTCTCCCTTCCTCTAACGAAAACAGTCTCTATATTCCACACTGCGAGCAGATGAATAGACTAGGTCAACTGCTATAACAAAGAATTCCCAACCTCAAGGCTTAGTACAAATAAAGGCGTATGTTTCATTCTTTGGGTGGCAGGGATAGGCGGGAAGACGCTCCACACAGTCACTCAGGGACCCAGGCTCTTGCCATCTTGTGGCTTCTTCCTCAAAGTTTGGAGTCCAGTGGATGCCCTGCCCCCAGGCGGCAGACAACAGGGAAGAAGTATGGGGAGAACTGTCTCTGGCCAGCAGACCCTGGCTGGAGTCTCCTGCCACCCATGCCCTTCACGCTTCCTGGGGGGCAAAGGGCCCACGAGCAACAGCTCAGCTGTGATCAGGTGGAGAGAGGGCTGAGGTTCTGATAGGAACCATCTGCTGAGGTAAGCCCTGCCTCATCTTGTGTCATCTCCGGCCCCAACTCGGAACCACCATAACAGAGTTTCCCCGAGTGTGATCCCAGACCCCTCTCCTCAGAATCCCAGATGAGGGCAGAGGACGTTAATTAAAGAAACAGATTGTGGGCCCATCTCAGACCAACTGCATTGGTGTTCCTGGGAGTGGTGCCCTGAGATCTTCCTTTTTAATAAGCTCCCCTGGTGACTGTGCTCGCTCAGTGTACAAACCATCAGACGAGAATTTCTCAAGGGCTCATGTCCTGTCAGCTTTGTTCCGTCAGCACCTAGCACAGAACCCGAATCTGAAGCCTCAAAACCTAACTTTTTATTATGGAAAAATCCCAAACACTTGCAAAAGCGGAGGGAAGGTATAATGAATGCCCAGGTACCCTTCGCCCAGATTTAACAATTACCAGCTCATGGCCAATTTTGTTCTACCCACTCTCCCTTCCACGCAGTTATTTTGAAGCAAAGCCTAGACATAGTTCATTCTCCAAACACTTTAGGATGTGTCTCTAAAAGATAAGGACTCTCTTTGTCACATATAACCAAGTACCATAACTGCACCTAAAAAACGAAAGTTCCTTAATACCAAATATCTAGTCAGTGTTCAGAGTTCCCCAACTGAGTTATCAAGTTTTTTAATTGGCTTATTTGAAGCAGAAACCCAGGCAAGATCCATATACAGGGGCGGGCAAAAGTAGGTTACAGTTGTAATACAAATAAATAATACAATAATTAATAAATAATAGTATAAGGATAAACTGTGTTTTGTGTACTCACAGCTATAAACCTACTTTTGCCCACCCTTGTATTGCAGTTGGTTGATTTGTCTCAATTCTCTTTTCATCTTTTGGTTTCCTGCCCCCCACC